GGGGCCGGCGGAGCCGTGTTCACGGTGCGGGGGCCCGAGTGGACCGGACGGATGGGCAGCGGCTGGCGAGGTGAGTGGGGCTGGTGGGRGGGTCACCCACCTACCCAGGGGTACCACGGGCACGCTGTGAGGTCAGGGTGCCTGGGGATGGCACGTGCCGGTGGGGGTGACGGTGGCGGGGGGGGCTGGCTCGCCGGCATCTCTCCCCTGCTCGCCCCTCCCCGGGCGCTGGCAGGCGGATTGATTTCAGGTGACAGCTCGGCGGGCGAGACCGTGCGGGCAGCGGCCCCCCCCCGCCCGCGCCCTGTGCCAGCCGCAGCCATGTGCAAGATGCGATGAGGCAGCGGGGGATGGATCCGGCCCGTCGGCCGGCTCCCGTCACGCGGGCKTATGGCGTGGGTTGGGGCAGGGGGAGTCACAGCAGAGACCGGCAGAGCCCCCCCAGCTGGAGGGGCCGGGAACGAGCCTCTGTGTCTTGGGGCTGGGAAAGAGCCTGGTGCTTACCAGGCAGCTTCCCCTTTAGCAGCCCTCTCCAGGGAACACTGTGCCCCACTGTGGATGGTTTGGAGTGGGAAGCAGCCTTCATGGGGTCACTGCTGAGAAGTGGGGGCTGTGGGGCAGAGGAGGTGGCTGACCCTCATGTGTGGGGCTGTCCCTGGCTCTCCATGAGGCTGCACTGGTGGGTGTCATGGGGCAGACAGGCGGGCAGGCTGCCTGTGAGCCAGCTCTCTGCAGGCCTCTCGGGATTCGCCTCCAGTCCTGGCATGCTTCCCGTGGCAGGGTCACGCCAGGGCACRGCATGAGGCAGGACTGCATTGCCACTGCCCTACAGTGCCACCAGCACCCCACAGCCCCTGGCAGCCCCAGGCTGCTCCATTGGGGTGCTGAGGCCAGCTTGGGCACTGCTAGTACCACTCCCCCCAGCTCATCTTGGTTTTGTTCTGGTTCATTTGGCATCTCTTTCTGCCTGCCTCCCCTTAGGCCAACCTTCACCTCTAAGACTGGGGAGGGTGACTGGGGACCTGGGGATGCCCCCATGCCCACCTAGGGATGCTGGCAGCTGGTGGGGCACTGTTGTCAGTGCCCATGGCTCTGATGCCGTCTCTCTTGCCCMCAGGCTGCCCGCGTGCCCCTGCCCGCCGGGGGCCCCCCTGCCATGGCCATCGTGCAGACGCTGCCAGTGCCCCTTGAGGCCGTTGCTGAGGGGGCCACACAGCTCCGCACCACCGCCCGCTCACCCCCTGCTGCCATGGGCAGTGTGGGCAGCCTCCTGCCCGTCCGGCCTCACCACGACTGCACCAGTGATGGGGACCCCTCCACTGCCTCCTTCTGCAAGCAGGAGGGGCTACACCGCACCACTCCTGAGGAGCCCCGTGTGTCTGTGCCCGGTGTCACTCACTCCTACGCCAATGGGGGCTTCTGTGGTGACTGGCTCGATGCCTCCTCTCCTGCCAGCCCCTGTAGCGACTCAGATGATCTCCGTGATGACCAAGCACCAAGTGATCACCTCCGGGGACCGCCCCCCAAGCTTGTCCCTGTCTCTGGCAAGCTGGAAGAGGTGCGGGGGCAGCAGCAGGGTGGGTGGGTGCATGCTGGAGTCTTGACTTTACACCCCGTGCCACATTGGGACTGTTGGCTCAAATGTGTGAAATGGGGTCATATGGCCACACCTCTGCTATCCCTGGGAAACTTGCAATCCCCATGCTCTAATGATCCCTCCATCATGCCAAGGGTGTTTGGGGAACTCCCTTGGACACCCATGGAAACGGGATGAAGTGGGTGGTCACTGGCCCCTGTCTCCTTTAGGGTTTGAGAGTATCAGGGCTGGGGGCACCCACTGTAACATTCCTAGGCAGCCCTTCTTGGTCTTGATGGGTCCCTCTCCAACCCCTCAAGCTCCCCTCTTTTCCTGGCAGAATGTGGAGAAGACCCTGATCCGCCCCATGGCCTTCAAACCAGTGGTATGCAAGCTTCGGAGTGCCCAGCCAGGCACGCGCCTGGGGCTCTCGGAGAGCCAGGTGAGCCTCACCCATTTGCTGAGTGCTGAGAAGCCCGGCTCTTTGAGYTGCCGTGCCAGCACCCTCTCGGACTCGGGGCGCAACTCCCTCTCCAGCCTGCCCACCTACAGCACGGGCTGCAGCCAGCACCCAGAGGTGGGTGCCCTGCCGACCACCCCCCATGGCCCTCTCGACCCTCCGGGGGGCTGCCGCCCCTCCAACTCAGACAGCGGGCGCTCATCCTCCAGCAAGAGCACTGGTTCACTGAGTGGCCGGGGCCGGCCCTCTTCAGAGAGTGGCTCCTGTGGGCGCTCTCCACTGCCTGGTGAGGAGGCCATGCTGGTACGGGAGCTGGAGGACAAGCTGCGGGAGAGGGAGGCCGAGCTGCGGCTCCTGCGTGATAGCCTGGATGAAAACGAGGTGGCCATCTGCCAGGTATGTCCCTGGTGTCCACATGTACTGTCCCTGTCTTCCTCCCTGGAGCACTTTGTTTGGACATACCCCCCTGGCTGGGGGTAGGGACCCACTTTGGGGTTACCCTTGCAGGGGGATGATTTTTCCTGTGGGTCTCAGTATGTAGGTTTTTCCCACCAGTTTGGTGGTCCTATGTAGTCCATAGGGGAGCCTTGTATGGTCCATGGGACCTGTTGTACAGACTGGGGTGCCTTATCTTGGGGTGCCCTTTTTTGAATGAGCCTGGGAATTGTGGCTTCTACTTATTGTGGCTGCCTGCTTATGATGGAACTGGAAGAACCCTACAGGCTCTGGGGGTGCTAATATGGGGGGCCCTTTACGCAGAAGGATAGGGGAGCACAAAGAGGTGTGTACTACCATCTCGCGCTCTTCCTGGATCCTTCCTCCCTTTGGATCCTGCCCCCTCCCTGTGATGCTGATCTTGGAGTTGGCAGCTGAAGTAGGAGGGTGCCATGCTGCCCTCCCAGCACCTGTGCATCCCCTTCCCAGGTGTTTGAGGAGAAGCAGCGTCGGTGTGAGCAGGAGCTGGAGGGGCTGAGGCAGCGCTGTGCAGCCCAGGCACGGCAAGCAGCCCATGCGGCACATCGGGGGCAGCAGGTCCTGCAGCTCCAGGTGCTGCAGCTGCAGCAGGAGAAGAAGCAGCTGCAGGAGGACTTGGCCCAGCTGCTGCAGGAGCGTGAGCTGCTGGAGCGTCGCTGCGCCTCCTTCCAGCGGGAACGCACCGAGCTGGCACCCCGGCTGGAGGAGACCAAGTGGGAGGTGAGTTGCCCAGCAGCACCAGACGTGTCAGGGGGTGCAGGCTATGGCTGGGGAGTCCTGGCCAGCACCTGAGCCCCRTTGTCCCCACAGGTGTGCCAGAAGTCGGGGGAGATCTCTCTGCTGAAGCAGCAGCTGAAGGAAGCGCAGGCAGAGCTGGCGCAGCGGGGCGCCGAGCTGCTGGGGCTGCGGGCTCAGCTGCGGGAGGCGCGGGCACAGCTGCAGGCGGGCGAGCGGCGGGCGCAGGGGCTGCAGGAGGCCGCCCGCCTCAAGGCGCTGGAGCTGGAGGTCTGCGCCAACGAACTGCAGCGCCGCAAGAGCGAAGCTGACCTCTTCCGCGCTAAAGCCGGCCGGCTCGAGCAGGAGGTGGTGGGGCTGCGGGAAGCTGCGCGTGGGAGATGCCCCCCAGGCACCGGTGAAGGGTGCCCCCCACCTGGTGAGGGATGCCCCCCAGCCGGCGAGGAGCCCCGGGGCAGTGTGGGGCTGCGGCGGCAGCTGGAGCGGCTGCGTGCRGAGGTGGCCCTGGAGCGGCGGCGTGGGCAGGAGCAGCGGGATGCCTTCGAGCAGGAACGCGGCACATGGCAGGGCGAGAAGGAGCGGGTCATCCGCTACCAGAAGCAGCTGCAATACAGCTACATCCAGATGTACCGGCGCAACCGGCGGCTCGAGCAGCGGCTCCAGCATCTCCGGCTTCAGGGCGAGGACCCCCTGCCCGAGCCCTGTGACCCACCTGACCCCCCCTTTGAGGAGATCACAGCCACCGAAATCTGAGATGCTGCCTGCCCTTGCCCCATGCTTGGAGGGGCCTCCAGCCCCTGTGATTTTGGGAGCTGTGGGACTGTGGGGGGCCCCTGCTCTCCCCCAGCTCTGTGAACTGCTGGCACTGTGAAGGGGCAGAGGAGACCATGGGTGCTGCCCCCTCCCCAGCATTGAGGTCTTGGGGTGAGGGTGGATCAGTGTCCACCACAGTGAGGGTGCCTGTGAGATGTGGGGTCAGGTGGGTGCTGAGTCCTGGCCTTGGGGCYGCCCGGAACTGGTTTCTGCTGATCCTCTTAGCGCCTGGGGATTAGCGGCKCTGGCTTCAGCCAGGGTCACCTTGGGCAGGGAGAGGGCTGACTTGTCCCCTCCCTCTTCTCCCTGCTGGCACTGTCACCCAGTCACTTGGCGTGTGCCCTGTCCCTGTCCATGCCAGCCTCCCTCATGCCCCTCCRTGTGTTTGTCAGGGAATTCGTTTCTGTGCCATTTTAAATAACTCTATTTTTATAGACCTACCAAAACATATCACCCTCTCCCAGCTCACACCCCACCAGTCTGTGCCCCCTCACCCCTGCCACGGGGCAGCTTGCCCCCAGTGCCTTTCCCATGCCCTTGCCCCCAGCATCCCTCTGTTTCCCCCCCAAAAACGCCCATGCCTCTGTGATGCCCAGTCTCCCAGGGGAGAGGGGTGTGGTGCTGCATGTGCCAGCTGGGGACTCCCTGGGGACACCCCCGGGGATGGGCAGAGGTGGGGGGGCCCTGCTGGGTATCCGGGGGGTCAAACCAAAGGAAAAGTCTGGCTGTGCCCAGCTGTGGCTTGGTCACCCCTGGCTCCAGGGGGGGGCGGGTTTTGTACTTTATTTCAGTCATGTCTCGTTCCCAGAGCCTGGCTCGTCCGTGTACCACCTGGAAACAGTGATTAAAAACAAGCCCCCGGCTGTGTTTTTTTCAGGATTCTGTCTGTGTGTCCAGGGCAGGGTCAGGGACCACCTGTCCTTCTCCTGTGTTGCCACTGCTGTCCTCCCTTGGGTCCTGCAGTGGGCAGCTGCTCCATGCCCGTGGGGCAGGCCTGGCTCTCASACCCTCTGGCTGCACTGAGACCAGCCACAGGTCGGTGCAGGAATGAGCCATCTGGCTCCTCTGGAACACAGCATGGCTCCTGGAATAGTGGGTGCAGCATCACTCCGGAGGTGGTCCAGGCACCCGCACCACCAGCTCCATGGGCTCCTTGGCTTTGTTGCGGTAGGCCTGGCGGATGATGTCCACAGCCCTCTGGTGTGTGACGTTCTGCAGGCTCTCCCCGTCCACTGACACCAGCTCTTGCCCGGCCTGGCTCCCAGAAGGGAAGGCAGTGGGGTGAAGTGCAGCTACTTCTGGGGTGCCAGGGGATTGCCAGCAATCCAGTGGCACCAAGGGATGGGAGTGTCTGGATGTCTGCCAACCCCCTCACATATGCTGGGACCCCCRTACCTTGAGGATGCCACTGAGGAAGGCGGCTCCACCAGGAAAGATCTTCTCKATCTTCACCACTGGCTGCGCCCGTGACTCAATACCCCCAGAGATGCTGATCCCTGCAAGGAAGCCGTGAGATCCTCACACCCGGGTAGGCTGGTAGTCACCACCCTCCCTGGGCAGCTGCACCTCTGTCTTGCCCTGTTTTGGTAGGTCCTACACGGGGCAGGGACAGCTCTTCACCATCCCCCCCATTCTGATTTTGGAGGAATATTCTGGGTTTTGCCCCTTGCTAAGGGAGTGCTGCCAATTCCACTGATGGTGATGCCAGGAGAAGGGTCTTCACCCSACCCCTGGGGTCCCACCCACGTGCCACCCACCCGTGTGCCACTCACCCAGCGAGTGCTTCAGCTTGGAGAGGGTGACGGTGAGCAGATGATACTCTTCCTCCTCCTCTTCCTCCCTGCCAGCATCTTCGGGGCCATTGGTGGCTGCCCCAGCCCTCGCCTCWCCCCCTGGCCCCCCAAAGAGAGGGGCGAGAGGGGGCCGTGCCCGCTGGGGCTTCCCCAGCACTTCGGCCTCTCTGTTGGGCGCTGTCCTGGGGGGCTCCTTGCGCCAGGTGGCCCGGGGGCTGCGAGAGTGCCCATGCCCCTTGCCTGGGGGGGGCTCAGCCAGCAGCCAGTTAGGGGGCTGAGGGCTAAGGGTGGGCAGGGGGCGGCTGGCGGAGGCATAGGCATCCACTGGCACGTCAGGGAGTGGGGTGTAGGTGCGGGGGTGAAGCCGGCGGGGGCTGGGGGAGGCTCTTGGATGGGCTGGGCTCGCCTGCTGCTCCCCGGCTTCCTCTGGCTCTGGGGTCCCTGCTGGCTTCAGCAGGAATCCGCCGCGGTAGTCTGCAACGAGAGGGGCTCAGGGATCTCCTCAGGGACCTGCAGCCCTGCTCCCTGGGACCCCTGCCACACAGGCTTCCCTGAGGCATCCCAAAGTCCTGGGTCCTCTGCCTCCTAGGGCCCCATTTCTTCATCRTCCAGGGACCCCTAGACACCCCAGCTCTCTGCAGGCTCTCAATGTYCTCTTCCCCAAGAACCCCAACTCCCAAGGTCCACAGATTCTGCTGTTCCGAGTCTTCCCAACACCCAGGGACACCAGATACCCTCTTCCCTGAGAACCCCTGCACTGAGGTATCCCAGCTCCCTTTCTCCTCCTCCCTGGCCCTGTACTCTCTCCCCTTGTCCCCACTGGGCAGCCCCTAGAGGTGGCACTTACCAGGCACTGGTGTGATGAGGTGTCTCTTGGGGGGTGCGTCATGGTGGGCCGGGCGGAGGGCAGGTGAGCGCACTGCAGTCAGGGAGAGCCCCCAGTCACTTCCYAAACTGCACCCACTCCTGACCACCACCTGCCCCAGTCAGGGTCCCGGGGGTGCTGGGATCTACCTGAGCGGCTCTTTAGGGCATCGAAGGCTTCCAGCTCCAGGGGCATCACCATGCTGTCAAATCTGCCCAGGTCTGTGGGGGCCACCACACTCCTGCCAGGGCAAAAAAGTGGGCACAGGTTGTAGCAGTCTCTGGGGTAGAGTGTGATAGGGGCTGAGGAGCATGTGTGAGGCTCCAGTTCAACCACACCAGGCTGGGCCATATTGGGGTACCCAGATATTTCCTAGCAGCACTCACCTCACGTCCCGCAGCAGCAGGACCTTCTCGGGCCGGTCCAGGATGGCCAGCAGTGGCCGCACCAAATCCTCTACRCTGCCCTCGTGCAGGTACTGTGGACACAGGAGGGGGTGGGTCAGTGGATGGATGCCCCCTCGCTTGTGCCTTGGTTTACCTCCCAGAACTAAGCATGGGCACAGAGTGCTCGCCATGCCCCTGGGATGCAGGAGATTCCCAGGGATGAGCCCAGGGTGGCAGCGCTGCCCTGCCTGTGCCTCGCCTGCGCTCTGTCTTTGGTGCGTACCCGGGAGCAGTGGCGGAGCACGGCTGTCACCTCATCGGGGCTGAGGAGACGTGCAGCAGTGTCCTGGATGTGTGAGAGCCGGGCCTCGGGGTCGCTGCCGTTGGGCTGCAGGGTGGCGATGCCCATGGGGCCCAGGATGGTGGCACGCCGGCTTTTCTCTGGGGAGGCACAGCAAGGAGGGGTGGCCAGCGGGGCAAGGATTGCCCTAGGCAGCCCAGAGAGTTCCCCATCCCCCCCACCCCAGCAGCTCACTCCACACCAGAGCGGGACAGACACATGCAGTGCAGGGCCAGATGCGTGCAGAGCCTGCCCCACACCCCCCGGGCACACCCCCGTTACCCCGCTTCAGGCTCCGGATGACAATCTTCTGCACAGCRCCTACTGCAAGGGAGATGGACAGGGGTGAGTGCCGTGGGCAGCCAGAAGCATCACCGCTCACTGTCACAACTGCATGCTTGGGGAACCCCTTCCCATCCCCCTCCATGCCAGGGATGCCACAACAGGCCCACAGAAGGGRGAACCAGTCCCAGGTTGAGTCCCTCTCTGCCCTGCCACCCAGGCTGGTACCTCTCTCCCCGTCAGAGCGCCCTGGGGACTTGGCGCGTGGCCAGCGATCAAAACCAGGGGTCTCCTGGCTGGGGGGGGCCCAGCTCTGGCTGGTGGCACGGCCCCCCTTGAAAAAGAGGTTGACAAGGGTCTTGGAGCGGTGCAGTCCTGGGGGAGCCCCCCGTGCCCCTTGTCCCTCTGGCTTCTCCTTCTTCCGCTTCTCCTCTGTGRACAGAGAGAGGAGGGTGTTGGAGTGGACAGGTAAGGGGATGCMATCCCAAATCTTGTCTGGGGCAGGGAACTTTGGGGGATTGCAGGGGCTACTGGGAGACATTGACTGGAAGAGCCCTTCTGTGGGGTGCAGTGGATCACTGGGGCCATGGGGCTGGGCTTTGGGTGCCCAGCTTTGTTGCTGGGGCTATGTGGAGTTATAGGATAACCAGGGGTGGTGGCCAGGGTCTATATGGGCTATAGGGTGCTAGGGTAGGGACCAAGATGTTGGCTATAGGAAGCCCAGGAGTGGGGGCCAGATATCCATGTGGGTCAGGGACTGTAGGATGCTCGAGTTGGGGACAGGGCCTGAGCTGTGGGACTCCCAGGGCTGGGGGAGCATGGTTGGAAGGGGACTTCAGCCAGGGGTGAGTCCCATGTATGGGGCTGTGCACCAGTGCCTACCAGCGACAGTGAGGTCACTCTGGGAGCGTGTAATGGGCTGCCGTGGCCGGCTCAGCGCCAGCAGCAGTGCCGTCTTGGGTGAGTGGGTGAAGGTCCGGCGTGGGTGCGTGCCGGGGGTCTCGCGGCTCCCCTGGCCCCGGATGGCCGTGTCCCGCAGCAGCTCGGGGGGCCGCACTGTGCGCCGCGTCTCTGGCAGCCCCTCGGCGGCCGGCTCKGTCTGCATGGCCCGCTCGGCACGTTCCCGCACCCAGCCCCGCCGTGGCCCGTCCTCCGTGGAGATGGCCACATCCACGGTGCGGACTGCGGGCCCTGGGGCAGCTGTTCCCAGCCCATTCACCGCCCCTGGTGCTGGTCCCGAGGAGTAGGAGGAGATGGAGGAGCTGGTTTCCGAGGTCTGAGACAGCTGTTGCAGCTGTCCGTTGGTCACTGCAAAGGCACAGCAGGGACACCGTGACACACGGTTGGCCATCTAGAGCTCCCCATCCCTCCCAAAGACAGTGGGTATGGGGGGACCCGCAGGGCCGTGGGGACAAGTGGGCTGCTGGCCATTGCATAGGGACCATCATGTCCTCTCCAATAATATGGATATATAGGATGCTGTGGGATCACAGGGACCACGAGGCTGCTGGCCATGGCAGGGGGCTCTTCAYGTCTCCTCCAAGGATGGGGAACAGGTGGGACATTTCCAGTCCATCGGGCCTGTGGGTATGCTGACAGTGGCACAGGGAGCTCCCTGCTCCTTCCAAGGCCTCGAGACCCCGTGGCATACAGATCTTCTCCCTCCCCACAGTGGTCAGACATGACACACATGGGAGTCCCAGCCCCACCATGCCCCCGCCCAGGGTACCCGCACGGCACTGCCCTTACAGCGACTGAGCCAGCAGTACTCGGCCACCAGCTCCTTGTAGGCAGGGAACCGGCCTGTCTCCTAGGCACAGGGGGAGACAACAAGGGGGTCAGTGAGTGCCAGATGCCCCGGCGAACTCGATCTGGTGCCAGCCATGAATAATGCATTCCCCCTCCCCCCCCACCCGCCTGAAACCCAACCAGCCAGCAGCTGCACCAGCCCCCGGCACTGGGCTGAGCTGGGGCAGTGCCAGCGAGGGGACATGCCAACCCCTGCCTTACTCGAGGGTCCCATGGGGCTGGGCGTGGGTACCTTGATGGTGAGCATGATGTGGGTCTGCCCCTTGAGCACCTCCACTGCCTTGCTATGGCTTATGTCTTCAAACTTGACTCCATTGGCTGCAAGGACTTGGTCTCCCACCCGAATGCCGTTTTGCTCCGCCAGCCCTCCAGGGTCCACCCTAGGGCAGMAGGGGGAAACAGGATGGGGCTAAGCCCTTTCTGGAGTCCTGCTCCTGCCCCACACCTCACCCACGGTGGCAATGCCCACAGTCTTCTGAGAGTGGGAGGGGCCCAGCCAGGGAGGAGGGGCCGAGCCCCAGTGTGGGCACAGCAGGGATTGGGGTGCCACACCCCCCTCACGCCCCGGCACAGCCGTACTTGGAGACGTAGATGCCGAGGCCGAACTCCCTGCCACCGCGGATGTTGAAGCCCAGGCAGTAGTCGTCGGAGGTGGTGTAGAGGTGGACGATGCGCCGCAGCCCGTCCTCGGAGCCGCTCTCCGATGGTGTCGAGCCRCTTTTCTCTACCACCAGGCGCCTGTTCACCACATCCACCCTGGAGCATGGGCACAGTGTATGGGGTCTCAGGGCTCTTGTCCTTCAGCAGGATGGGACCACTGGTGGCACCCAGAGGAGGAGAGTGATGGGGATTGGGGATGTTTAGGATGGAGTCTGCCCCCACAACGCTTGCTTCAGACTTTCCTRTCCCATTCTGTACCCCACTCTGGTCACTCCCTACTTTTGCCAGAGATTTCTGATGCCACTCCATCCCGGGGATCCCCCGCTCTGGGATCCTCCCTGTTGCCCAGAATCCCCCACCAACCTCCCCCAAGAATGCCCTCCATGGGRTTGGGATTTGGGGTGCTGGCATGGGAGATGCCCTGCTCACCACGCTGTCTTCTCCTTGGAGAACTTGATCCCTGGCACACGGCCCATCCGCCGGACCACCATGCGGAGGCGGTTGTTGCCGGTGAGGACCTTGACAGCGCTGCTCATGGTGATGTTCTCCAGACTCACACTGTTCACCTCTGTGATCTTGTCACCAACACACAGCCCGGCCTGCTCTACAAGGGGCACACAGCTCATGTGGGCACCTGACCTGGTACAYATGCCCTTGTTTGGCATCCCCTCCCTCAATACCTCCTCAAACTGATCCAAACCCCTGGGGAACAGAGGTGGGGGTGCCTGACAATCACACTGGGTGGCTTGTCAGCTTGCTGTGGCTTGGGGATAGAGCTCAGAGTCATTGGCACAGGGCTGTCTACTCCTGTGTCCTGCCCTTTCCAGCCTGAAAATCTCATGGCCAAAGGCAGCAGAGCGCATATGTTGGCTTTCCACCATGAAGGGTGGCATTGTCGCTGTGGTACCATGTCACTGGGAACTCCTTGAGAGAGAGGGTCTTGCTGRCATGTGCCTATCTCCACTGGTGTCCCTCACCCTCACCCTCTTACCAGCAGTGCTGCCCTCCTCCACTTTGCTGACAAAGATGCCCAACCCGTGCTCAGAGCCGCCACGGACGCTGAAGCCCAGTTTGCCATCCACGCTCTTCTCCACTGTGATGGCATTGATGACRTCGCTCTCATTGCTGCTGGCTATGGGGACAGGGGAGCAACTGAGTCACCCATGCCGGGTGTGAGCAATGGCAAGGGGTGTCGCTCTTGCTGGGAGGATCCCCAGGGTCAGGACAGCCCTCCCCACCCCTAGACTCAGGGATTTCAGCCATTGGGACTCTCCCGGCCACAGGGGCAGGCAGAGGACTGGGACACTCCACGCACCTTCAATGGGGGCATTGATGAGGATGACACGGCCCATGGGGGAGGCRGCACGGGTGTTCCGGGTGGTCCCATTGAGCAGGCGGCTCTGCTTGCTGAGGAGGTAGCGGGGAGCTAGGCTGGCTTCACTGCTGGAGCTCCGTGACCGGCTGCCAGTCGTCATCCCCGACAGCACTGCGTCCCAGTCCTGGGCCATGGTGGTGCTGGGCACTCCAGCGTCCCGGCGTCTGGCTCAGGGCTGGCTGTGTCCTCACAGGGCCAGGGCTGCCCGTCAGCCAGCGGGGGACATGGCATAGTCCAGCAGCACATGCCCAGGCTTGGGCACTGCTYGCTTTTAGCAGTGTGAGGCTGGGGGCAGCTGGCCTGGGTGCTCGCTGCTGGCAGGACAGGTCCCAAGTGCAGCAGCACAGCCTGGAAGCACAAGAAGCTTCGTGACCCCCTGTCCAGCCTGATCCCCTCCAGTCCTATAGTGTCCCGAGGGTCAAACTGTCACATAGCTCGTGGTACTACCGCGGGGGTGTGGGTACAGGCTGCCTGGCCCTGGGGTAAGGATGCTGGGGTGCAAAAGAGCTCTGCCTGGCAGTGTAAATCCGGAAGAGGGGATGCAAAAGGGCTTTACGTGACTGTGTAAATCCGGAAAGGCTCCAGAGAGGGGACATGGGGACATSAGCTTTATGCTGGAGAGTAGGAYTTGATCCCTCTGGCCATTCCCCATYCTCCCTCGAGCCCCTCTGAATTCCCAACGCCATGGGGCTGGAGATGGGTGCGCCAGTCCCCAAGACAGTTCCCGCGGGGATTTTCCAGGAGTGGGTGAAACGCCACCACGGTGCCCCCCCCCACTTCACTCCCTGCTCGCCCCAGCCTGACCTCAATAAATAAGTCATGGCCTCGGCTCCGGGGACATGCCGGTATCCCCGCGGCTGCCAGCCCCCCACAGCACCCACCCATTACCCCCCGGCCAGCATCACACGCCAGCGCCCCCTCCCCGAACGGGGCGCCGGGGACCCCCTACCGCCGTCCCTCCCTGCCCCCGCCCCGTGCCCTCCTCACCTGTCCCCATGGTGCCACCTGCGAAAGAGACACCTGCCAGCGGAGCGGGGGGGAAGGCGAGGCCGGGGGGCAGCACCGCCTCCTGCCCCCCCGCCCGCGGGGATTGGCTTTCCCTGCGGGACCGGCGCGGCCATCGGGCGCAGGAGCTGTCAATCGAGAGCGGCCGGGGCTGGCCTTGCAGGTGGCGGGGGGGAGCAGTCCCGTGTGTGTCCCCCGCGAGGGGGTCCGGGGGTAGGTCCCCCAGCGAGGCTGCATGTGGCAAGGGATGTGGTGTCCCCCCTGACCTCCTCCCTTAGCGCGGAGCATCTCGGGGGCACAAAGGGGAAACTGAGGCACGGTCAGGGGAGGGGGGGTGCCGTGTCCCCCCGCTCCGCTCACTCCGGTGATGAGAGCCGGTGTCCCCCCGTGTTCCCCTCCCCGGGGGGCATCGCCTCCGGCCCGGGCCGGCCGTGACCCCCCGGCGGGGCCCGGCGCCGCCAGCGCGAACCCG